CAGAAGTTTTACTCCAAATACTTTAATTACAATTATTTAATACTACGAACATCTCTGGCAAATATGACCATCCTTGCCTATAAAAGCAGTAAGCATAGAAGAAATTGGGAGACCACGTTCCAGAATTTCAATCGATAGAGAAGGCAGAAGATTCAAAGCTATTACTGACGTACTACACCTTGACTTATTCAATAAAGTTGTCACCAAAGCCAACTTTTCTAAAATAAAGAAGGGAGAGAAGGCAGCTGGGCTCTGTGAAATGCTTTCTCAGCATCAAGCAGAGTACTGACTGCTAAAGAATTTGGCACTCGTTTGATGGATGAAAGGGAAAATTACTTGCCCGTAATTCCTGCAACTGCTGTCAGTCCTCAGCACCTATCCCAATAACAGAGACGTTCAAGGACAAACATGACTCCTCCTCCCACCAGAAAACAAGGAGGCAAAAGATCAGCCAATAAATTCATGGATCTGTAAGTCTCAGCTGAATTCCTTCCTTTACAGAGCCAAATACCAAGCACTTTGAGATAATGAGAAAAACAAGCAGAAAGGAAAATGGAATATACAGCGGCAAAACTGCCTCTGAAAGGAAGATGGTGAATAGGATGAGAAAATACAGGACTATGAGAAGGAAATCACCAACATATTGTTTTTCTCCAATCCTGAAATTAGCAGTCACCTTCCAAAGAGGTGAGATTACCTTGTTGTGTCAGTCATAAGATCTTACAGCTGAAGAACTCACCTCTAGATGCTGTTGCTTTTTGTTGGCATGGAGAGGCTACCAAATAGTTACGTGGTATGTCTCTAATACAGAAACCTCATCTCTTTCTTGTCATAAAATAGCCAACAGCCAGGACATTCACATGCAAATGACTCCTCTGAGTACACGTGATCAAGCGATATTCACTGATCTCTGATGGGAACAGTTTGCAGTGCCAGCTTTCCTTTCAAAACAAAAAGTCTTGACAACACAGAAACGATTATTTAACCTTCCAAGACCTTGAAGAATGAGATTTAAGAATAAGAATTTCAGATACTTCAGAATAACAGTTTCAAAGACCATTTAATTTGGGAGGCAAAGAAGGCTAGAGAAAATGAAAAGAATGGTGGATTCACTGCTATGGTAAGTGTCT